CTGGTACCAGCATCTATGGGCAGGTAGCTAATCGAGTGGCGACAGCCACTATGATGTTTGTGGCGACAGGCCCTCCTGTTTGCGGTGACGCTGCGACGGTCACTCCTGTTTGTGGCAAAAGTCGCTCCTGTTTGTGACGACAGTTATTCCTGTTTGTGGCGACAATCCCTCCTGTTTGCGGCGACAATTCTTCCTGTTTGTGGCGACAATCCCTCCTGTTTGCGGCGACAGTCGCTCCTGTTTGTGACGAGAGTACCTCTTCTTGAGACGACAGTCGGCACTGTTTGTGACGACAGTTCCTGCTGTTTGTGACGACAGTTCCTCCTGTTTGTGGCGATAGCCACTCATGCTTATGCAGCAGTCCGCCGTGTTTGTGGCGACAACCACTCATGTTTGTGGCGACAGTCGCTGCTCTCTATGGAATTTTGAATTTGATTTGTTCAAAGATGACGCGTTACTGCATTATGGGTTACGTCAGGTCGACTATCCGTATCTCGCTCTATGTAAGTAGGCGCAAGTCAAGATTGCTAACTTCGCCACATATGACATGGACTAAAAAAGCTAGGACAAATTGTCACTATAAACAATTAGAGTTCCTACTGCTCAAATAATTGCTAAATCCAAAACGTTCTGCCAAAACTAGCATAAAAGGTCATAAACTAAAGCAAGTAGCAACCGCATTCATCAAACGTCAACGTCAGTGATAACGTCTACTCGTGACCTAGACTTGACACCTACCATAAGTCATGGGGCAAACATTATTAGCTTAGATGTTGGCAAGTTTCTAAATAGGCAAACATTAGATAGTATTGTTTCATGTCCAAATGGGTGAAATTGCAGGTAAACCTATGTTTTGCCCACCAATTACGATAAACAACAGCTTGCAAACAAGTGATTTACGTCCTTATTCACCAAGACGTTCTGGTCTGCGATCAACGATCGCACAGCTAAAAAAAACTCAGCACACGTTGGGCAATCACTATGCGACTATGATGTTCTTTGCGGTGCGCTGCTGTTGGAATTGGACAGAAAACCGGATTGTCTCCAGGGCTGCGTTCCGCTGAACTGCTCCCTGCTGCAGGTACCTGTCCCACCGCTGGCCGGGTCTGCAGCCGGCCACCGAATTCCTGCCGGCGTGTCCGGCCACTCGGCCAGGTTCGACGCTCTGTTGACCTTGATGACGTCCGATGAGCCACAGCTGAAGGACCCGGTCTTGGTCTGCCGCCCACGGGAATACAGCAAGGGAGGTGGAGGGCCATAGAAGATCCAGTAACTCCTATCCTACTCTGCCGTCTAAAGGCTGAAACAGACTCTTCCCGCAGTCTGGAGATTGCATGCGAGAGCCTGTCCAATGCACGGTACACTCACTGCTTAGTGCTTGGTAACCATTCTTATTTCCAAAAAGTGAAAATAGTTCGAAAACTAGAATAATGATAACAGGGCTTATTTTGAGTCAATTTCAGGCGACCAACATGCTTTCAAGTTTCAAAGACTTTCAACCACGGGCTCCGCCAAGGTTTCAGCATGAGGGGCCCAACCCAAAAATGTACAACCCTATACATGAGGCTACATTACGGAAGTTAATTTATTGGGAAGGGGGAGAGGGGGAGGGTCTGGAACTCCGCGACCATCCTCCTCCCCAAATCCCGTGGTGGAGCTCCTGCTTTCAATCCAGATATTCAGCCTAAGCAATCGCAACAGTTTTCTGTGACCGCTCAGACGTGGAACTGTGTGGAAACCGGTAAAAAGTCTCGAGACCATTCTCTGTGCGCAGTGCAGTGATGATAACCGGATCCAGTTCTCTGATATGGGCATGCAAGATTTCATGACATTTTTTCGTCTAGCAGATTTTCGTCGGACAAATTTTCGTCCGCAGATTTTCGTCTGAATGAATTGTCTCGCAATTTGTTCATCTGTACATTTTTTTTTTTCGCCAGTGTATATTTTCGTCAGTACGTTTTTTTTTCAAACACCCTCTTTGACATTTCTTTGCTTGTCCAAAACGTGTAAAAATCGAAAAATGGTAAAAGGGAAAGATTGGCTGCGATGGCGAATACATAAAGAGCAGAATGGTCAGATCAGAACATAACCAAACCTCACCTAAAACTACCTACTGATTTTTGCCTACCGGGGGATAAGGAAAAATTACTTTCGTGTATAGATAGCAAGCAATGATAAGTCAAATGTTTTTAGGATAAGTTGTTATGCATCAGGCTTCAGGCTAACTTAACCCTCGCCGGACCTATTGGTTTTCTACATACGCGCCGGCCGAGGGGGGGGGGGGCGGGTACGACCCCCCCCCCTCGCCGTTTCGCCCCTGGTGGAGCTAGCGCGTCGCGGAAAAAACGAGCGTGTGTGCCATTACGAGACGCAGAGATTGGTACCCCGATTTTAAGGTCCTAGGTCAACCGGTGACCTCTGAGGTCAGGTCAAGTGCCCCAGGGTACGGTTCAGTTTTTGGTGAATAACTTCGCAAAAAACGGCCGCAGAGCCGCGATTTTGGCAGCATCGTGTTCGCCTCGCTCAGGTGCGTCGAATGATATACTTTTTGTCCGGGTCAGGTCAACTTTGGGTGTTGACCTCAGGTCAAGGTCAGGTCAGCACCCCCAGGTCACGAAGTTGGTCAAAAGAGGTCATATTGCATATCATTCGATTCGGCAGGTCTTCCTGAGTCCATTGGTGGCTTTCTCGACTCGCTAGCTCAATTTGATCAAGAGTTATTGACGAAAAACTAATATGACCTTGATGACGTCATAAATGACGTCACGCAAGGTCAACATTGCAAAAGTGACGCATCTAACTTTGCAAGGAGTGCATCAAATCACGATTCTGTGTGCTTGAGATAGTTGGAGATCGTTCCCGGCGCCAGAATAGCAGTTTTCATTTTTCCCCATTGACTTATAATGGTGAGGTCACGAAAATGACCTGACCTCATATGACATTTAGGAAAAATCCGAGATATACAAGTTGTGAGACTCATAATGGATACTAGATCCTGCAAGTTTCATTTCCCTGTGACATCTCCTCTGGCAGTGAGGGCGTTGCGAAGTTGCGACATCTGAAGACCGTGCAGAGGTTCACTTATGACGTCATAGGTCAGTGACCTGACCTGACCCAAAAATGCGGTTGGTGTCAAAAGATGCGGCTTGGATCAAAGGTCAGGTATGCCAAGTTTCAGCTCTCTATCGCCAGCGTGTTTGGAGCTATCGCGAAAAAACCCTATGGGGGGGGCGGCACCCCCCCCCCCCTCGGCCGGCGAGGGTTAAAAGTATTTGGCTTACAATTGCCTGTAATATCTCCTAAGGCATTACCCGGCACTGCACTGCTTCGTCCCTATTATCATTATGACGTCACTCTCCTTTCCTCACAATATAATAGCATCGTAGTACTTTTTTCATTCAGCCTTGGAGTTGAAACAATGTATGTTTGCGAGGCAAAATCCAAAGAGTATACATAGTACATAGTTACATAGTTAGTATACATAGTTAGTATACATAGTTACTAGTGGTGTCAATCGGAACTTGAATCTTCGGAATTGTGATTTTTTTCCAATGTCCACTTCGGAGTTCGGTTGGACAATGACAGCAGGCTTTGGACAACTTTGGACAATCGCTTGCTACACCTCAACATTTTTAAAAGTAATCTTGTTTCACATTGATTGGCTGTTAGAAAGCTCAGCTTTCGATATAATTAACACTTTTGAGCTGGTAACGATACATTAAAAGCAAATTAGATAACGGTGTTGAATGTAAACTATTGCGTAAACGTCGGACATATTTGGACAGATGGCTGGCTTGGACATTTTTGGACGGACAGTCGACGTAAGCATTGGACATTGGACGGACATTGGACATACGTTTTCTGAAATTAACACCACTAATAGAGTTACATCGTAGAAAAGAGAGAGAGAGAGAGAGAGAGAGAGAGAGAGAGAGAGAGAGAGAGAGAGAGAGAGAGAGAGAGAGAGAGAGAGAGAGAGAGAGAGAGAGAGAGAAAGAGAGAGAGAGAGAGAGAGAGAAAGAGAGAGAGAGAGAGAGAGAGAGAGAGAGAGAGAGAGAGAGAGAGAGAGAGAGAGAGAGAGAGAGAGAGAGAGAGAGAGAGAGAGAGAGAGAGAGAGAGAGAGAGAGAGAGAGAGAGAGAGAGAGAGAGAGAGAGAGAGAGAGAGAGAGAGAGAGAGAGAGAGAGAGAGAGAGAGAGAGAGAGAGAGAAGAGCAGGTTACTGATGAGATAAGCTGAACTGTTGATTGCAAAATGAAGCATTTCCAGCGCTTGGCTGAAAAGTCTCGTGATCAAAGCCTCCTCCGAAGAAAAAAACTATTTACGGCGACTGACTTATGGGGAAACCATTCCCAAGACGATCAACCCCTGATCGAGCTCAAGCTTCGCAGAAAAAACGAGCGTGTTGCCCATACCTTGGCATCGCCTTCACGTGATCTTGTCACCCATAATAATCCATAGGACAAACATCAATTGTCAGTTGGGAGTGGACCCAGTTTGCACGCATACGCAAGTGCAAGGTGCTGCTTCCACATTATGAGAATGGCTGGGCCAATAGCGTACAAATTTAACTCGCCGCTAGAGAACAGTTAGCTGGGTGTTGGAACTAGTGATGTCAATTACGGAAAATCGGAATACCGATACCAAACCAAATACCAACCAAAACCACGGGAAAATACCGAAACCAAACCAACTTGGGAAACTGAGGGAAATACCAACTTTTTACCGATTTCTTAGCCTCTTATACATTAGTGAGGGCTTATGACACCAACAAAATACCAAACACATTACGATTGAAATACCAAATACCAAGTTGGTATCGGTTTGGTATCGGTATACCAAAAAGTTGGTATCCGATTGACATCTCTAGTTGGAACTACACCTTCGCACTTGCACACGTGCAGGCCTCACGGCTCACTGTCCCGTTCTCTCGTTGGTTACCCACAAAAGCGTCTTACTGGTTTAAAAAAAAAAACTGATTTACCTCACCGCTGAAGAAGCTATTTCTGCACAACTTTCAGTGTATTGGGTCATTGCAGCATGCGTATAACGCAGTACGTATCACATGCAACGACAATCGCGCCATTAACGCAAGGACGCATTTAACGAACACATACGAGCACTAAAACAGTGCAACATCGCCTCGTCGTACTAGAGTATGATGCCCTCCAACCTCGATGGAAAATCCCATTGCTAGAAGGCCAAAGACCATGTACGAATCACTAAGACAGGTGCATGAATGAAAGACTTTACTGTTCACCGCCCGGTCTGAACGGACTGCGAGTTCAAGTTGGACTGGGTCTGCGAGCCAGAGACGCCGTCAATGCTGGACGTGCTGCCGGAGGCCTGGTTGACGCTGCTGCCGCCGTTGGAGGCGCTGCCACCGGCCGAAGAGCCCAGCTGGGTGATGGTGGTCTGGCTTCCGTCCGGTCCGGTAGTCTTGCCCTGGGTCAGCTGGCTGCCAGCGGTACCGGTGGCCGAGCCAAAACCGGGTATCACTGGAAGGCCCGGCAGACCCGGGACTCCTCCGAAACCAGGGTTGGTGAACTGCGAGGACTGAGAGTTGGTGTTGGAGGAGCTGCTGCTGCCAAGGGGAGTGTTTAGGTTCTGGTTGTTGCTGGAGGCAGAACCGACGTTGACGCCGCCGTTGGCCGCCTGACCGCCGGTGCTAGCTTGTTGCTGGACAACGGTGGACGAGCCTCCGAATGGGTTAATGGTTTCTCCCTTGATGACGCTGCTGCCAGCCTGACCCTGAGCACTTCCTTGGCCAAAACCTGGGAAGGGTGGAACAGCAGGGAAGGCGCCTCCAAAGGTGCCGAAACCTGGAAGAGATCCCTGCTGCGACTGGGCGTTGGTGTTGGACGAGCTGCTGGTACCGAGAAGACCCGTCTGGCTCTGGGTGTTGCCGGAGGCTGTGCCGACGTTGAATCCGCCGTTGGAAGCCTGTCCTCCGGTGCCCGACTGTTGCTGGACGATGTTTGTCGAGCCGCCGTGAGGTCCGATGGTTTCCCCCTTCACGATGTTGCTGCCTGACTGGCCTTGAGCGCTACCGGTACCGAAGCCAGGGATAGCCGGGAAAGACGGCATGACAAAACCTCCTCCAAAGTTGCCAAACGTCGGGCCTGCGTTCTGCACAGACTGGGCGTTCGTGTTGGAAGAGCTGCTGGTTCCCAGGAGACCCGTCTGGCTCTGGGTGTTGCCGGAGGCAGAGCCGATGTTGGAGCCTCCGCTGGCCGCCTGTCCTCCGGTGGCGGCCTGCTGCTGGACGAGAGTAGACACTCCACCAGTTGGCAGGACGGTCTCGCCCTTGGTGATGCCACTGTTGGCCGTGCCAGACGAGCTGGGACTCACGGGTACGCCCTGATTCAGCAGCTGGGGCCGCGCCTGGACGCAGGCCATCACAGCCAACAGCACCAGCGTCGTACGAAACATTCTGGAACCAACAACGAGATTATTGTTACAAATTTCCTCAAACGATCCCATTTTAAGCAGTAACTAGTTACTTCATAATAATGAACATCTAAAATGATAACTTGTGGTGTCATATAAAAGCAACTGCTGATCAATTTTCCTTTTTTATTAGTGTAACGATCATGTTCAGATTCCTTTTCGACAATTTTGAAGCCAACATAGGCTACACGTTGTTTCAATATCTTAGTCCAAGACAATTGTTTATATAATCAATCATAAGCTGCTCGTTAAGCCTTCCTGCTTCAATCAGCTTACCTGGTGATTGAGTCTGCTACTGATGTGGCTTCACTGCTGAGTATTGCACGTGTCTGGTGCAGTTTCCCGGCCGGTCCGGTTTATATAGGGCGGTCGCAGTCAGCTGCTGCGGTGTGATGACGTGCCGTCTGTCTGCAGTGCGCCACTGCTCGTCTGCAGCTCCTGTGCCGGCACCCTCGACTCGGGAATCCCGTCCAGTCGGCGGCGGTGCGGCCCCTGTGGCGGCGCGGTGTGCAGGAGCCTGCTCGCTCGCCGTCGCCGAATAGCACGAACCTGTTCTGTGGCGCAGCACCGCCGCACGCCACCGTGATTGCCGTAAAAACCGGCAGTCATGACGTCAACAACCGCATGCCGGCTGATATTTGGATCGCCGGCGCGGAAGAACAAGGGACTTATCTCAGTAGACATGACTTTTGAAAACTGAGTGTATTGCGCGCTTGCAATACCTTGAATTGAATTTTTTGGTTAACCTTTTTTCAACATTAAATTACGATTGGAAAACTTGTTTGTGCCCAAATACTCCAGTCGCAATTGATGGCACATCAAAAGACATGCGCCTGGAAGAGCTTGGCAGAGTAGACAATTTGGAACTTCTTTTCCAAGGAAAGAGCCGATGGGTATTATGTTCCCCACGAAGCTCTCACCAATTATGGTCTTGCACTGGATAGCAGAAACACCAGCCGAAACAAGGCCGGACTCTGATTCACTGACGTTTCCTTTGCACGCACTTCTTGCGTCACTACGCATGATTTGTGCCGCTCGCCTTTCCCCCAGAAAGACCATGCGTGACGCGGTAATTCTAGGCAAAAACTGCAGCGCCAGGTAAGTAGATTGCATGATTCTTGGCAGAGAACTACGCAGGGTGCGTGAAACCTGTCAAGGCTTCATTGCCTTGCCATGCTTGATGACGTCACAGGTTTTGCAGAGATGCTGTATGTACCTACATTGCTTGGTCGAAAACGCAATTGCACGCTTAGCGGAAAGTAGTGTGAAGACCAGCAATCCAAACACGTTATTGCCTTTTCCCTTCATCTATCGTGCTTCATTTCCTGTTCTGATACAATGCACCTGCTGTGTTCCAGCAGGGAAATGGGATTGTAGTTTCCTTATGACGCTGCGTTGTTTCCCCATGACCGTAACTGTTTTCTTGTTATGGACGGTCAATTTACTCGAATATCTGAAATGAACTGGTGAAGGTGAGAGTCATACATTGGCTCTTGGATTTCCAGTTAACCGCGAGTTGCTGGGGGGGCGTTAACGCCCCCACTTTTTTCGCCGGGCCATAGCATAAAAACGGCGCGCCGCAGGCGCGCCAAATTTTGGGTACCTTTAGGGAATTGATTGAAGTTTATTGTGACAAAGTTTCAAAAACATCGGTCGGAAATTTTTTGGGATATCGAGGTTTTAGTGACGTCATGATTTCTGAGTTTTCGACCAAAAACGGCAAATGTTCAAAAAATCATATAAAATCACAGAATAGACATACAGACATGCCGTAAACGCCATTAGACTGCCAATACCATGATCAATCAAATGGCTATCTTCGATTATTGATTATCGTTTCGCATTTTCCATAATCTTGAACTGAATCTTGGCAATTTTTCGTGACTACTTCACGACCATGATACATGCATTTCTTAAATTGAACTTTTTGAGCCAAACACGTACACATATGATAAAATGAATGTCACCATCGTGTTCTACGCCCCAAATTACCTATAAAACATGTGTCACAGGCTGCGAATATCAGTTTTGATTTTCGGGGATATGTGCCTACCCGGTTGACCTGACCTTGACCCTGACCTATGCTTGACTGACCCCTACATGGAGCTGACACTCTTGTAGGCCTTATATGATGGATTGTGCACCGTTTGGACAGAGTTTATGAAGAGAGGCGCCCATTGCGAAGTCCTGAAGTCCATGCTACTGAAAGCCCGATTTCAGGTGTTTGACCTGACCTTGACCCGACCTGTGACCTCAAAAATCAACTTTAAAGTACTCATTTGAAGCGTCTCGTCGCGCTCTTTCGTTTGCCGCCTCGTGCGTTTCGCTGCGCCTATTGGTTCTCGAGTTATCGGCTGGGGGCGTTTAACGCCCCCCCCCCCCCCAGCAAACGGTGGGTGGCGAAATACCCCAGCAACTGCCGGGTTAACTATAAACACGTTGAAAAGCCATCAAACTGCAACAGTCTGAACACTGGACAGAAAAGTCGCTACAGCAACATACCCATAAGCGTTGATGTATTACAAATCAATTTGCATTGGTGTTTTACCTACTTCAACTGGCATTTATTCAAGATGTTAACGCCAGTTGGGTCCGTGGGTAAGCTTGGCGAAAGTCTTAGCTGCGATAGTAAAAGGACAATAGCCGTTTTCACGACGGCCATCTGGTACACATTTGGTGCATATCTGGTACAGATTAGGTGCAGACTTGGTCAAATCAGGTTCAGTGTGTCTCTTAGCAGCTATCAGCTAGGGTTGCACTAATTGCTTTATGCCTGCTTTGTCATATTATCAGAGAGCATCATCGATTAAAACACTGAAATGATTTCATAACATGAAGATATTTGCTGTAAAAGAGATTAGGTGCAGATTTGGTCAAATCAGGTGCATTCACCGGATAGCCCGTCGTGAAAACGGCTGTGGTAATACCCAATAAAAGATACACCTATTTACCATACAAAAAAAAAACTATTTGTCATATTCCTATAGCTCACGTTATGCTGCACCACTTTTTACGTCCTTGAATTGCAATCTTTTTATTAGATACCTAATGCCGAACCGCGATGAACGACATATACCAAAGTCGGTAGATGATAAGTGTCTTCGACGACCTTCCAGGCCTGATAATCCATCCATGACATCAGACTAATGATAATGATAGAGCGCAGGTGCCAGATCCACAATTTCAGACATTTTATGATCGAGAATCTAGACAGGAATTGTCTGCGGTCGCTGGTAAATGCAACTGCAGTTTGGTGGCCGCAATCAGTCATGTGCCAACACGAGGCATGCTAAACATTGCCCTCCTTGGCTTTCCCAAAGTAGCCAGCTGGAATTTCCCGATCGGGGACAGGGGGTCAATATGGGAGCAACAAGCTCAGGCCGTCACAGCTGCTTTCGTCCTTCCTTCCATCTAAAAATTGTAACTTTATACAGCTAGAGTGCTTCATCAAGGTTGATAGTTTTATATGTTACCGATGTTTGCACTCAAACCTTATTCCGCATGTCACACTGCCCCAACTTGCAGTTGTTAGTCATGCCGCGAGTGAAACAAGCCTCTGTTCACGAGGGGAAGGCGCTGCCGCCAACCATACGCACTATACGTATACTACATATACATACACTATGTGCCGCTACATACCGTGGCACTGTGCGCACTGGACACTACCCACTGAATTCTCTGCTACAAATGCACTATATCTCCCCAAAACTCTTCCCATCCCTGTAACGCCCGGTTCGCAACAAGGCGGACAACAAGGTGGATATCGGATATTGTTTGTTAGTTTTTGACACTCGCTGCACCTATTGGTTTTCCAAGTACGCGCCGGCCGAGGGGGGGGGGACGCGCCAAATACGCGCGCCGTTGGTGGGTACGACTACCCCCTCGCCGTTTCGCCCCTGATGGAGATAGAACGTCGCGGAAAAGGTCAACCGGTGATCTCTGGGGTCAGATAAAGTGGCCCAAGGTATGGGCGCAGTTTTTCATAAATAATTTCGCAAAAAAAGTCGTAGAGCCGCGATTTGGGCATCATCGTGTTCGACTCGCTGATGTGCGTCGAATGGTATACCTACTTTTTGTTCGATAGGGGTCAATTCGAGGCGTTGACCTCGGGTCACGGTCAGGTCAGCGCCCCCAGGTCACGAAGTTGGTTGAAGTCACGAAGTTCATGTCGCATATCATTCGATCCGGCAGGTCTGCATCTGAGGAGTCCTTTGGTGGCTATCCCGACTCGCTAGCTCAATTTGATCGGGAGCTATTGACGAAAAATTCTTATAACCTAAATTACGTCACGCAAGGTCAACAAAATCAAAGTGAAGCATTGGTGATTGGACCTTGCAAGGAGCGCAAAAATCACGATTCAGGAAGGCAGCAAAAAAATTAACATCCTTATCAACAATTAAAGTCTTTCAATGCCTACTTCGCCAATGTTTGAACCGCCAGAGTGTTGCCTGGATTCCCCCCCCCCCCCCCAAAAAATGTAGAACACCGCTTACCACTTGTAGGTAGGTGATTTAAGTACAGAGTTAAGCCGCGTCCCACTGGGGTCTGCGGATAATATGCGCTACTGGGGGGGGGGGGGAGGAGCTATTCATAGCCACCCCCTCCTAACTCTGAAACTACTGGGCCAATTGTCAAAATTCAAACGGCGTCTGATAGCTCCGGTAAAAAACTGCCCAGCGAAACCTAATTTTCTTGACCTCGAGGTCACCGATTACGTCACAGGTCAGGTCAAAGTATAAATTATCGATGCTTTGCTTGCTCACCTTTTCGGCTCTGGCTGCCGACGCACAAGTCAGATAAGGCTCATTTTTTGTTTACGCACTTGTTAACCCTCGCGGGCCCGGGGGGGCGTTTTTCGCCCCCCCCCTGGCGAATATTTGCGATAGCTCCCGAACGCTTAGGAATAGGAAAGCGAAACTTTCAGTACCTTTTCTCCCATCAATTTGACATCTTCTGAAGTAAAAAATTTGGACCTAGCCCCCTTCATGACGTCACAAGGTCCATTTTTCTAGACCCCTGCACGGCAAACTTCGGCGTCACAGACGCAAACTTCAAATAGCTGCTAAAAAATAGAGTTTAAGAGATAAAGACAAATTACGAGCACGGTTGTGTAGCGTTTGACCTAGAGAAAAATAGAAAAATAGTTTTGGTGACCTGAGGTCAGAGGTCAGGTCAACGACCCCGAAATGTGGTTTTAGTTTTTCGCAAATAACTTCGACAAAAATGGTCCTAGAGCTACAGCAGTGGTACCATCGCATTCGCCTTGTCAAGCCGCGTCGAATGATATATATTTTGTTCGGAAAAGGTCAAGTTTTATGTTGACCTCATGTGACCTCGAATGACCTCTGGTTGACCTTGACACATGAAAGGTCGTTCATGATGGATTTGTACCCGCTGATCACGAATCTGGCATCTATT